CGACCCTTTTCTTGCTGGAATCCCCCATCGTCCCTTCTCTCCCCATCTCTTTCTCTTTCTCGCTGTGTGGGTATCTCCCCTCCCTCACCCTCGCTTCTCCTCTAGCCACCTTCTCTCTCTTCCTTCCCCCCCCCCCCTCGCTGCTCCTCTTAGGCACCTTCTCTCTCTTTCCCCCTCCCTCCCACTCTTTATCACCGCCACCCAACTTTACCGCCCTTCCCACACTGCAGCACCCGCACCCAACCCAAAACCGACCGGTTTCGTGCTGCGAAGCGAACATCCGTGACTCTCTTGCACCATCATTGCGCGCAGTCAGCCGAGCAGTTAGGTGCAGTAACAACGCGCAAAAAACAGGAAAACAAGCCAAAAAAGCACCATAATAGAGGGAGGGAAACAGCTCGGATAATCGGAGCTCTATCCCAGCTCGTCAATGTTTTTGATAATGTGCCACGTCGATGTGGTGTGGATGCCGTGCAGTGGAGCGCGCTCGTTATATGTGTGGGCTGTGGGCGCCGGGCGGGTGTCCTGATAAGACTACAGCGCAACGCTGCACGGCACCAACTTATAGCCCTTGTTCGAGGGAGATAGGGCGGCCCGGAGTGTCGTCCTCGTTCTTCTGGGCCGCGGCTGGCGAGCAGCTGCACGTCAGCAATGCGGCGCGGACTTCCGGCAGCCCTCGCACACCACGCTGCCCGCTGCCGCTCCCTCCCCTCTTCCCCTTGCACACACTCACACACACACAAACACACACACATATGTATGTAGGATGCAAGTATGAAGTCTACCCGGGTCAAAATCTCCGACGACTTTTCGCGTTCGTTTCGTGTCCAGGTGAGGTCAAAAAATGCATTAGAGAACGCGCGTAGTAGACTAGGTGGAGCCTGCTCAATTCAGTCCAAGAAAGCAGTAAGAACATCAAGAAAACGCAAAAGGGGGCTAAGTGCTCAGTCGCTTTTTAATGTTCTGTTGACCCTCCAGCTCGGCCTTCTTTGGTGCAAGAGTATGCAACTACTTGACTACGTGCGTGTTTTATTTGTCTCTTTTTCGTGTCGGCGACACGAATAGAAGGCGAAATGAAGCCCATAGAAACCCTTTTGCGTTTTCTTGGTGTTCTTACTGCTTTCTTGGACTGAATTGAGCAGGCTCCATCTAGTCTACTACGCGCGTTCTCTAATGCATTTTTTGACCTCACCTGGACACGAAACGAACGCGAAAAGTGGTCGGAGATTTTGACCCGGGTATAGCCGGACATTCGTCACTCGACAGCCATACAATCGCGCGCGTCGCAGGTGTCGCTCATGTGCGCCTGGGCGTGTGGCAGCGCGGCGTGGCGTGGCTGCGCAAGTCGGGCTCCTGCTGCTCTGTATGCTCTTGCCAAAGCAAATTAACACCCTCTCCATCTGGCCCGCCTCCGCGCGTCGCGTTGCGTTTCCCTTGCTTTGCCTCCCCGCAGTCGGCATGAGGGAGATATTCCGGCGCGCGCGATGCCATTGAGATAATTATAATTCTCCAGAGCGCCAGCGGCACAGTGCTCGCCGAGCAGCAGCAGCGGCAGCAGCAGCGTAGTGAGCCCGCGCGCTCTAATTTCATTTTTTGGCGTTTCCTTTTTTTGGGGGGGTTCTACGAGGGAGTTGAGGGAGGAAAGTGAGAGGGGGGAAGGGGGTCGAGGTGGCGAGGGGATGCTTGGTGGGTCCGTGCGTTTTGCACTACTGTCCGCCGTCCTGTTGATGTTGGGGAGGCCGTAATGTGGGGCACGGTGGCTCGCGCGGAGGGGTCCAGCAGCAGCCCCGTATAGCGGCGGGGGGGGGGGGGTGTCTCTCTAGAGGGCACACAGGCTCAGAGGAATGGTACATGTGCCGCCGCCCGATGTAGACCATTACCCCGCAATAAGAGGCCCGGGTCGTTACGGCCATTACTATTGCTCCCGTCCACAAGACTGATGATCCTCCTGCGACGGAGGCAGACAGGCGTCCGGCCGTCGCGTCCGGCCGTCTGCTGCGGTGTCGTGGTGTTATTATTATTGCCGTTGTCACGATTGTCAGGCCGCTCAGCACGTGCGTTAGAGTAACGGCCCTCCTCACGTTGGACGGGCTGAATAATAAACGCGTCATATTGAGGCTGCCGAGTCATGACGCGTGACGGCCTGAAGCCCCTCCGGGCGCTTCCCGCCTCTCTCGGCCCTTTGTATGGTACCTGGGGCGGCTTGGGAGGGCCGCCGTGACGCCCCGCGAGACGGGACTGGAACGATATTCGAAGTGCGCGCCAAGGGCGTGTGCTGCCCTGTCCATCATGGACGGCCCCTAGGACCACCCTTGACCACCCAGTCATAAATATGTTGAAGTTTATAGCAGATGAAAAAGAACTTACTTTTAGTTTGAGCGTAGTTTTACTTTGAGAGTTGCAGACGGTCCCTCTTGGGGAGGAGACCCTCTTGACCGTGAAGTGTCAAGATGGGCCCTATCACTCGAGGGACCCGTTGAAAATCCATCACAACTTCGAAGTTGGAGATCAGCCGAGGTGGGAGGGGGGGGGGGGTAGGGAGGATCGGGGTATTTGGCAGGGTTGTCATAGAGTATTAAATTAAATCTAAATTGAGTCAAATTCGGTCAAAAAATTTAGCACTTCACGTCACACTACAGTGCCATTAGCGTCAGCCGATGCCCGACCTAGCTCACGCTCATGAAGCCGTCGACTGCGAATTTTGTAGTAGTGTTTTGTAGTCGGTAGGTGTCCCCAGCTGTATTACATTCTGCCCCTTTTCGCCCCATTTAGCACCATTTAATTCTTCATGCCAACCCTGGTATTTGGAAAACAGCAGGAGAAAAATGGAGACCCCCATCCCGCCGCCTTCCACTGGTTCGACTCTTGACAAAGTAGGGGGAGGGGGATGGCAGGGCTGGATGGAGGCGACAAGGGCTCAAGTTTCCTGTTGCTGGATCAAAGGGACGCCACCGATCGCGCGCGCGCGATTTCTCAGCAGAGGTTGGGCTGCTGGCGCTCAACAAGTCGAGTCTACATCGATACCTTGTTCCCTCCTCATGTGTCTAATTATGGGATCATTAGACCTGCATGCACGTTTGAGAGAAGGAGGAAAAGCGGATGGTAGAGGGAGGGGCCTAGCGTAACGTGAGGCAGCTGTAGGCCGTGTGTGGGAATGTGTCGCTGGTGACGTCTCATTACGTCACGCTAAGCGAATTCAGCCGGCCTCCACCGGGCCTCTCGGCCTCTCTCACTGCCTTTTGCGTCCGTCGCCGTCAGATGGATGGTTTCCACCACGACCCTCTCCCCCCATCGCCTTCCCCGCGACGGCAACCCTTTGCGTCCAACCCGTCCCCGCCCTACTACCACTCGATATGGTGTGGTCCCCGACCCGTGACGCGAAACTACGCGTCTGCGGCACAGGACCTGGGCCTGGGACCCCAATGAATGGAATTGTCCCCGCCGTCTCCTACAGTGCCTCTTACTCTGAATCTGAGTTTGAGATACTTTTCATCATTAAATTTTGTGATGACTCAGCTGCGTGATACCTCCAGTTTGGATATGACATATTTTAATGAACATAGAAAAAAAAGAAACATGGGATGAAAATTGTGGGGAAAGTTCTCACAAAACAAAAGTGATCATTTCGCGCAAATTCTTGGTAAAACGTAACGACCAGCTTCGTTACTAAAACTTACGATAAAATGTTTTATCAGAC